AAACATAAAAATGTAACATGATGAGATCCTCTATGACAAAGCTTGAATTCCTACCAGAGCCAAATATGATATCTCGACTAGGAAAACTCTCCCCAAATTTTCCATTCCCGCCCCGCTTAGAATGGAGCCGCTCCCCTCCGTCCGCCGTTATCGCCATTCCCTTGGCTCTCCGCCATAAATCCGAGGTAAACGCTGTCAACTTTTTGGAGCCACTTCCCTCTCGCCGTCACCCTACCATTCCGCCCCCTCTCCTCCATAAATCCAGTTCGCAGTGCCATTCGCTGGCTCCCCCCACCCCTCTCCACTGTTGGCTAGCTCCCCACACCTCGCTCCACTGTTGGCCGGCGGCAGTCGAGCCCGCTATCCATTTTTGCTGGCCGTCCAATTCCATCTCTCCGGTTATTGTTTCCCGTACATCTGAGGTAAACAAACTTTGGATTGGCCCTGGTCCCCTTTGACTCTAACGTATCCTCCACCCTGCTTGTTTATCGTTAGATATTATCGGTGTTTGTTCTTTGGGCTTCCGATCCATTGCATCCGTTTGCATCTGCGTTTTGGTATGTTTTGTCTCTCACATTTGTGAACAATTTGGCATATATTTCTCTGAGATCTGCAATCCGTAGAAATAATTTGTAATTTTTTTCTGAACAATTTGGCATATATTTCGCTAAGATCTGCAATCCATAGAAATAATATGTAATTTTTTCTAAACAATTTGGCATATATTTCTCTGAGATTTGCAATCCATAGAAATAGAAGTTGTGTTATCCCCAAATTACATCACTGTGTCCAATAATATCTGTGAAGAATTCATTGTAAATGTAGTAATAAGGCATTATGAATATGTAAAAAGACATTATAAATGCAACCGAGTGCCAGGCATGGCTAGAACACTCGGTTTGCTCATATTTTATTGAGTTCACAGCATTAATATGTACTCATCTAGAGCTTGGACATGCATCTGGTGTTGAACAAGGCTTGCTTTATTTGTACAGGTCCAAAACAACTTGTACAACACCTTCATCGCAAGGTTCGTCATCACCTATGAAGTTCTTAGTTTGGTTATGTGTACACATATTTGAATGTTCTCCGTGGGAGCTTGCTAGTTAGCATCAAGTCATTTTTTTGCTATGTTTTGACTTTTGAATTGAATGGCTTAACAACATTATGTTCTATTAGGACTTGTACAAGGATGGCGGGAGTATATGCACAGGTCGTTTTAAAAATCCCATTAAGGAGGAACCCCTCCTGTTTTACGCGGAAAAAAGCAAGGCTCATTGCTCATGAAGTACCAACACCTGAGAGTGTCTGCCCGCCATCCCCTTCCTCGTACATCGACCTTGGGGGAATTGGCGGGGTAATCTATCTGCATATTTCTGTAGCTGAGACAATTACTCTGTTATATATAGTACAATCTTATAGCCTGAGTATTTGATCTATATGTGCAGGAGCAAGCTCCCACCAAGAATGACACAACCGCGACAGATAGGCCTGCTAGGCGCCGAGGTATCACCGAGTTGGATCTATCCGGAGAACCTATGGAGCCATCCCCTTTATGGTACCTCAACATTGGGGGAATCGGCGGGGTAATCCATCTGCGTATATCCGTAGCTGATTCAATTACTCTATTATATGTAGAACAATCTTACAGCCTGAGTATTTGATCAATATGTGCAGGAGCAAGCTCCCACCGAGAGTAACACAACCACATCAGATAGGCCTCCTAGGTGCTAGGCTAGGTGAGGGCAGAGCAAGTTGTGCACCGGTAAATAGTTTATCACCGATTTGGATCTAGCCGGAGAACCCGTGGTGCCATTTGGTGTCAAGGGGCCTTACAAGACGGCCATCTCGGTGTTAGTGAAGGACAACATACCCATCAAGTACGGGTACTGGAAACAACCGGGCAACAAGTGGGCGGTTCCATCTAGTCTGAAGAATCTTTGCTGGGAGAAGCTAAAGGAACTGTTTATTTTTCCTAATGGGTTTGATGAAGAAGTGGTAAAGGATTGGACATTCTTTATCATGGGCAACTCATTCAAGTATTTGAGGTACTACTTGAACTCCTAATATTTAAGGACGGACATTGAGCCAGAATGGAGTGAATAACCACATCAGCAAGAGTATTGGAGTGATTTCGTGAGTGGGAGGAATCTAATGCGTATGCATCCTCATCTATGATCTCTCCTCCGGCTCAGAGGTTGGCCCCTGAAGCCCTACAGTTAATTGACAACCTAGTGACCTACTTAGACTGTGCAGCAAAGCTTGTCTTAACTGTGTTTCATCTTTTTTCTTGTGTTCCAGACAATAGTGCCATCTTTAGTGGAGCTGACCATTTTGGAGATATCTGAGCTGTAAGAAGATCTTGGCGGTTTTGTTATGGAGGCTATCATCTTATCTAATCAAGGTGCTACAGTACCTGACATTGGAATGTTGGTTTCATTGGTTTCATTTTGGACGTCTGTTTGTGTGGACGTCTGTTTGTGTTCTAAAAACTATATATTCATTATGGTTGGATTTGGACGTTATATCGCTGTGGTTGAAAACTATGTATGTTGCTGTCATTCTATATGGATATTTATGTCGGTGGTGTTCTCAAAAAATATATATATTGCTGGAGATGCATAAGCCATGAAATTTCTATATTGCTGGTGCTATAATGTATTATGAACAATAATGATGCATAGTGGTAATGCCAGCGGTGGTGGACAAAACATTATTGTCGGAACAAACACAACGGCAGCGGTGACGTTGGCCCTCATTACCGCCGGAGGGCACACCGACCGTGTGCGCTGGCACCTACAATACCGGCATATGGTACGCCGGGCAGGCGTTGATGTTCTCATCATCACAGTCGAATGGTACGCAGGTCCGGCGTCGATAGAGCCATCATCACCGCCAATTGGTACGCTGGCCCGACAATGATAGGTAAATAGTCATGCCGGATGGTGCATCGGGCAGCCGACGATGGACGCACCATCATCACCCGGATGGTACGCCGGACCGGCGTCGATGGATGCATCATCACCGCCGGATGGTACGCTGGACCGGCGTCGATGGTTACATCATCACCGCCGTGTCATACGCTGGGCTGGCATCGATGGTTACATCATGACCGCCAGACGGTACGCCAGGGCAGCGTCGATGGACGTATCATCACCGTCGGACGGTACTTTGACCCGGCAACGATGGACGCATCATCACCACCGGATGGTACGCCGGACCGGCGTCGATGGACAACAACGGGGCGGATGGTACGTCGGGCCAGCGATGGTAAGACAACGTCACCGCCGTATGGTATGCCGGACCGATGGTGGTAAAATACAGTCACCGCCGGTGCACAACCGGTGCAGATAAAGGGCGCCGATCACCGCCGACATACACCAACGGGGGCCAAAATCATCAGTAATGGGGGTTCTGGAGCCGGCGGTGTTTAGCTTTTTGTAGTAGTGCAACTTCTACTGATGAAGTGTCCCAACTCATGCTGACATGTGGGTCCCACTCCCTTAAGTGGCAAACAACTCATTTCCCACTTACAGCTGCTAATCTTAGATCCACCGGATGGTCCGGTAGAGCTGGCGGACTATCCGGTATATCACTGTCTTTGCCCAATTGATTTTGTCATTGGTTGGCTCGGTATTGTAGGCTGAGTTACCATATCTTGAGGTGCTCTCTGAGATTGAGTTGGTGTTGATGATGTCAATAGGATATCTCTTAATACATTCGGGTTTCTCTCCATTGCTCTGGGTATGAGCCTGACCATGGCTATCGGGAGATAATTACGGTTCCTTTTTGGTAGGTTCATGACGGTTGGTTCAGCTCAAGGCATCAGGGATCTGTTCAAGGGCTTGGATGATTACTCACTCGGATGGTTGAAAATGACTGCCTATATTGTAACGAACTCGGGTTGTTACAAATAACTCTCCCCATTTTTATGTGGCCTGAGGTATAGAAATATTTTTTTGCATAGAGATGGATCGAAGGTGGATGTATGGTCTAGCATTCGCGGACCTGCGGTACTTGTTGTCCTTGTAACCATAACAGTTATAGTATAAATCTTGATGGATTGGTGATGTATGTGAGTCTAGTGACCATAGGAAATAAGACGTACCACACAAAAATTATAGCACTGCGAGGTCACCACACAAGCTGACAGTGATTGTATGTATAGCACTGCCAGCTTAAGTACTGAGCCAGTCAACACCGTCGGTTGCAGTCTAGAATCGGCAAAGATCACATGTATATCAATGCTGGCTTAGGTGCTAAACTGGCAGTATTGCTCGAATCAACGCTACCGATTGGTGTTACTTACAGGCAGTGAAAGGTTGTTATTGCTGCCAGTTTTTCTTAACCGACGGTGATAGGACCGGCACATCACTGCCACTTTGGTATTACCGGTTCAAATTGCCGCAATGATGGGGGTTTGAACCGACAATAATGTGCTGGTCTGAGGTAGTGTTAGACCGGTATCAATAGTGGTTTCATTAGAGTTTCATATACATTACATAAGCTGACATAGTATATATAGTATAAATGAAGAAAGAGAAATTAAAGAGACAATGAAAGTTTCATGGAGATGAAACCGTCTATACTATTTCGAACACACAGGAGTCTTGGAAACTGGCAGATAAAATCCCCACTGACAGATTGGTTTGTGGTTTCGAAGAGGAGAAATGACTAATTTATTATCTATCTTTTTTTCTTTCTATAAACAATTCTCTATAGCTGGTGTTGCTCGCTTTCAGAAAGAAAGACCCAAGAACATACACCACAAAAATTTACACAATTTATGTTTTTTCTTTGCACCACCAAATGCGCATGCCCAGCCCAAAAATGGGTAGCAGCCCGACGGCGTCGTCCATGGCGCTTATACAGGAGGAGAAAGAGAATGCTTGGAGGAGATGACCCCTTGCCCAAATATAGCAACCATCCCGGCTTTTATAGCCAAGCTCAGTCATGCATTGATCGATTTCGTAAGTCTCCGGTCATCCCTGCAAACCACGATGGCTCCCAAGATCCTAGTGATCCTTCTCCTCCTCGTCGCGGCCTCGCCCGCGGCTCTGGCTGCCTTCGACGTGATCCAGATGCTGGCCGACAAGCCCAGGTACGCCACGTTCTCGAAGCTGCTGCAGCAAACCAAGGTTGCGGGAGAGGCGAACCAGCTCCGGGCGGCGACGCTGCTGGTCGTCCCCGACAAATTGGTCAAGTCCCTGGCGTCGCTGCCCGATGATAAGCTAGGGCCGGCGGTCGCGAACCACGTCCTTCTCAGTTACTTCGACCCCATCAAGCTGGACGAGATGAAGACGCGCACTGCCATCCTCCCCACGCTGCTCTCCAACACCGACAAGAAACTCGGCGTCCTCAACTACTCCAGGGCTGACGACGGGCAGATGTACTTTGGCGCGCCCGGCGCCTCCTGCGTAGCCAAGCTCGTCAAGGTCGTCGCAGCGCGCCCTTACTCCGTGTCCATCATGGAGGTCAGCGAGCCCATTTTGCCGGCCGGGTTCATGACCTCCACAGTCGCGGCGCCCAGGCGCCGCGGCAAGGGTGGTAAGGGCACGATCCAGCCGTCAGCGGCGGGGCTTGAGGATTCCAAGATGGTCGTCCGCAAGCCCGGCGAAGGAGTGTCGGGTAAAGTGTCGTCTAAGGATACCGGGTCCAAGTCAGCTGCTCCAAGCCCCGCACCTTATTAGTCGCGTGTCGGCTGCTGCCGGCCGGCCTGCCGTCCTGTCTGCGCGCACGCGTTGTTGAACTGGTGACAGAATGGCATCGTCAATGGAGATTGCCATGCGCCCATGCTCCAGAGTTCTACTACCTGGTAGCACCGTGGCATGATGGCCCGTTCATATTTTCTTGCTTGCTTGTACTTTCCAGTTCCATGTGGGAGAGATTTTACAGCACCTATTTACTCCCAGCAAAAGGTGGGAGTATAAATCAGTTCATTTCCATGGTTTATATAGTCAGTTATAATGATTTGCAGTGGTATATTAATATGTACTCCTCTTTTTCCTCGTATAATATAAACAAAGTTTGACATGTCTACCTGCCATTCACCCTTCCATCACAATTATTAGGACTGAGAGGATTAATTTATGTTTTCTATATGCTTCCATGATGTTGGCCATATGCCAATCTGATAAGGCCAGGGGAAGCCGGCAGAATTAATGCAACAATTCATTGCTTGTTAGTATCAATTTCAAATATTTCAACATTCATATGTTATGGGCCCGTTCGGGCACAGGTAAGCTTCACCAGTGAAGCTACTTTTTTTTTTTGAAAACAGCTTCACAACCAGTTTTTTTGGAAAGTTAAGCTGTTTTGAAAAACGTGTTCGGAAAAACAGCTTCATTTGATGAACCAAATGAAAGAAATGCCTAAAATGCCCTTTGTTTTTCTTTTCTTTTTATTTTCTTTTCTTATCTCCTCACGGGTCTTTTCTTTGCTTGTCTTCTTCTAGAGCGCATCCGGCGGGCCCGACTTTCTCACGGTGCGTGGCCTAGGCAGCATCCGCGCATGGCTCCAGTGGCCAAGCCGCACACACCCGGTGGCCGCGTCCCCGTCGGCTGGTTGTGCCACGGAGGTAGTGCATCCTAGCCCTGCCCCGGCGGGAGCACCCTCTCTCGTGCCCTCGGCGCCGCGCCTCGTCCCTGCGTCCCTGGTGGCTACGCCCTATCCCTACCATCTGACGACCGCACCCCAGCCCGACGTCCCCCGGCGGACGCGTCTCGGCCCTGTGCGCGCGTGCCTCGACATCCGTGACCGTGCCGGTGCTTCACGGGGCAAATCTACCACCTACCTAAATTGGGACCCACTTGGTCAGATGAAGCTGTGGTAAGCTACTTTTTTCAGCTCTCTCCCATCCCATTCGCTCGTGACAGGAGAAAAAAATAGCTTCATAGGTAAAGCTGTTTTGAAAATGGGCGTTTGAGTCTAGTTTACAACGCAACAAACAGTGAATCATTTGAACTTCCGAGCTAAGAATTATGGTCATTTTTGTGGAGGTTGAACAAACGGTCAGTGGCTACATGAGAATGGAAGAAGACTCATCAAATACTCCACCAAGATGACCTTTTCAGTGGTGTTTGGGACAGCTCCGCTCCATGTTTTTCAGCTTCGCTCCACATTTTTTTAGCTAAACAGTTCCAGCTCCATGCACTCAGCTCGAGAAAAAATGTGGTTGTGAGAGCACCTAAAGAAGTGCTCCATAAATTCCATATTTTTTATGGAGCTGCTCTACGATAGAGTTTGTAGAGCAGTCCCAAACACGCACTTGTTTTTTTGCTTATGCTTATGTTCACATCCAATAAAGAGGAATGTTCCATGTATAAATAAATCATGTAATCTATCAGTCGAAATAGAGTTGAGATTTGATATTGTGAGAATTGAGCATGGCTCTTCTTTAAAAAAACCCATATAGTAACTCCTATTTTAATTGATCTCATTGATAGATCTTCGAGTTGTCCTAGTTCATAAACCCGTAGAATAACTTTAGTCCTAGACTTCTAATTAATCTTGTTGAGCGATGTCCCAGTGATTCTAGTTTTTATTCAACTAGCTTTTAAGGAAGGATGTATACAAAACTTAAACCTTGCCGCACATTGCCTAATAAGAAATGAAAATGGTTAAATATTTGAATGAATAAGATTGAATTAAAACGCAACGTCAATGGTAAGGTAACATGTGCATGCATGAAAGGCTAGTACGTTAGAGAATACAAGAGACGGCTAAGAGCATCTGTAAGACGGCTAAGAGCATCCGTAAGAGTTCCCTAAATTCCTTCCTAATCTTTGAATTTTAGCAAGATGAGAAAAAATCCTTCTCCAACAACTCTTAATCCATCCTTCTAATCTTTTAGAACTTGAGAAAAGTTACCCTGTTTCACGTAAAGTTACGCGCTTTCGAGTCACGCGTATCTTCTCTCCCCGTGCGTGTTTGTCGGCCAATCTAAAGGTGGAAGGGCGTGGAAACAATAAAGAGTAGGAAAGGGTTTCTGATGCAAATGTACAAGAGAGAAAGAATATATGAAGTGGTTAGGATAATTCAGAAATAGTATAGGATTCCCTAATATAAAATTATCTTCTATATTTCAGGAGTGGATTATTAGAAACTCTCGGAGATGACATTCTTTATTTCTTCCGATACTTTTTTAGAGTTGCAAAACTCTATGTTTTTTGAAGAAAGTATTGTGTACTCTTGCAGGTTCTCTAAGCTACCTAGTCGTTTGAAGGTCATGATGGCAGTAAAACTTCGGCATTGGCCATTGGGCAATTGTGCATGGTGAGTGGTGGGTAGATTTATGCAAAGAAAATTACAACATATGAGATGTAAAGCATCTTCAAGAGTTCCCAATAAAATCTCCAAATTTAGGATTTTTGACAAGATTAGAAAAAACTCATCTTCAATAATTCTCAATCCCACCTTCCAAAACACTTGAAAAATCATCCATACACGTGGATAAATCCGTGCACTCCCCGTCTCGCTTATTTCCTGCGTTGCGCCGAGCGTCTCCTTCGCACGCTGGGGTCCGACACGTACAGCAGGTCGCTGGTGCCGGGGAGAAGCAGCCCACGTTGAGGACGACTAGGTCGACGTCACGCGTGCTGACGCCCATGCTGGCGAGCACCCCCACCACGTCGTCCATCTCCTCCAGCGCGTCCCTATGGGTGGGGCTCTCCTCGTGGCCCAGCAGCACGTTGTGCAGGCAGTAGGTGTGCTCGCCGATGCTGGATTTGATGATCACGTTGAGGAGGAAGCGATACTAGGCGCTTGTTGCGCTCGATGATCGGCGCCCACCGTCCTGGTGGTGACCTTGCGATCGTCCGAGCGTAGTCCAGCAAGTGTGGTCGTCGGAGAGCTTGTGACCCACGCCACCACGCACACTGACTTTGAGTTGCAGTTGAGCGCCCAGAACATAAGCTGCAACACCTTCTCGTCCATGATGCCCGGCTGATCCGCGCCCCATTGCCACCTCCTTCCCAGGGGCCGATGGCAAAAGCGTGCAAGGAGGCGGCGACAACGTAGATGCGACGGGCCTATTGATCTCGCACAAAAAACTGCCGCGAAGAAAACTGTCTCTAAGATCAAAATTTTCATATTTTAAGAGTGAATTATTAGAAACCGTTGGAGATAGTCTTATTTATTCCTCCCAATACTTTTTGGCAAGTTGGAAACTACCATGATTTTAAGAAAAAGTTATGGAAGGTGGACGGTGTTTGACAATTCCATAACAACATTGAGGAGAGGAGGTATGAGTATTACAACAAACTCCCCATGGAGCTAGTTTAATAAGATTGCGAGTGGCAGCGCCAGTAGATCTAGAATTGGATGAGGATTAGCCGGTAGGTAATTGCATTGGACTCGTGGTAGAAAAGCTCGTTAGTGTGGAAGGAAATATATTAGGAGCCAAAAGAAGAACCGGAAAAAAGGAAAGGAAAAATAGGCCATTCTTCTAGAAAAGTCAAATGACAGGGCTACTGACACTACTAGAGAACAGACTTTCAATTTTTTGCTTTAGTCCCAACCATTTTTGGGCCCGAGACTAAAGATAAGATTAGTTCCGGTTGGAGCTACCAACCGGAACTAAAGTTCCCTGCCCAATGGCTAGAGCTGCAGGCTTTTGCAGGAGAGGACCTCTAGTCCCGGTTGGTGGTTCAAACTAGGACTAAAGGTCATCCTCTAGCCCCGGTTGGAGCTACCAGCCATGACTAAACCTTTTCAATCCTAGTTGGCGGCTCCAACCGGGAATAGAAGTCCACCTGTAGTCCGGGTTTGAACCACAAACCGGGACTACAGGTCCCGGGCTATATACTCTCCTTCTTCCTCCCCCAGCACAAGCTATTTCAAGCTCTCTATTCTTGCTCGTCTCCTCTGTTCTTGCTTGTCTTCGGCCATCATTTCAAGACTTCATTCGATTCCTCCATCCATTCTTTGGTTCTAAAGGTTAGCAACTTCATCCTTTCATGTTTCATCACTAGCATGGCTCATTTCGTGGTCTAGAAATAGAGAAATTTGTGGTTTTCTAGATTGGGAATAATGGTGGATTTTTTTATTTATATACCATTTGAGCTCGAAATCACTTGATAGTTTGCATTTGCAGATGAAGGAATCTTATAGTAGCTCATCAAAACTAGTATGCACCTTTCATTACCTCATTTCATGGTTTAGAAATAGAGAAATTTAAGGTTTTTTTACATTAGAAAGAATGGTGAATTTTTTGGATTTAAACACCATTTGAGCTCAAACTCACTTGGTAGTTTGCAAATGTAGTTGAAGAAAGCTTAAAGTAGCTGATCAAAATTAAACGAGTATCCACCTTTCTTCACTAGTATATAGCTCATTTAATTTCAAGGTTCACAAAATGAGAATTTATAGTAGTTGATGAAAATGAGTATAGAGAGTCATAGACGGCGACTGCTTTCAGGTCCTCGGCCTCGCATGGGGTCCCTAAGCGACTGAGGCTGGTCCTTTATCTCATTGCGTGTGGCAAGTGTGGGCAGAAGACTATACTGGAGTACAGGGTGACGAAGAAGGGTCCCAACCAAGGGCGCATCTTCTATACTTGTCCATATCGCAATGTGAGTTATTTTTTGTCATGTTTTATTATCGTTTGTAGCCATTTTTCATGATGATTTTGATTAAAGTTCTTGATTTGGTGTTGTAATTTCAGTGGGATGGCACTGGATCATGTAACGGT